AATCAGTCCTTTGTTGTCTCTTACAGTCTGAGATTCCTGACCTTGGTCAGCTTGTGGTTGCGTGGGCCAGGCCATGAGGGCTCTTTTTTCCTCAAAGCATAGCCCAGGGCCTGTGCTGATGAGCCTGTCTGTGCTCTTGTGACCCTCTCACACATCCACATCCTCTTCATCTCACGCCAGCCCGTTGCCTGAGGCGTCCTGGTGGTGATACCCGGAGCCACCTCCAAAAATCAAACCGTGCCAAGGCTCAGGCACCATCCTGCAATAGTCCACCCAGTTCCACTGTCAACACAGTCTCTGGAAATCATGGCCAAGTCCAACTAAGATGGGTGTAGCCACACGGAGTGGAGTCATGCCAGCTGGCCAAGGACAAAGGCTGGTTTTTGGTCTCCTTTGTTTAATGACAGAGCCTCTGCCTCCAAAACCCATCCACTGCCATCCACATGGAGCATCTTTTTCCGCAGCACTCGGGGGAGGGTGTTGTTTTTTTTACAGTAGGAGCATCTCCTACCTCCTGTGCTTCTCTCCAAAGGTTATTTGACCACATTTCTGGATCCAATGGCTTTGGCTCCACTGGCACAGGGGCAGCAGTGACTTTGCCCCGTGCAGTTCATGTGCTGCTGCAACATCCGTAGTAAATAAGCGTGAGGGTAATTACACCAACAGGAATGCTGGGAATCCTGCCAGGAGGGAGGGCACAGCCAACCCTTTGTGCATTAAAAAAAATAAAAATAAAAAAAATCCCCCCAATCCCCCTCCCAACCCCAAATTAGTTCTATCTCTTGAAGCCGTGATGAGACTCAGAACTAAAAATACACACAAATACACACACTCTCGTATATAAAAATAACCAGCATTCAAAAAAAAAAAACCACAAAACCAAAAAAAAAAACAAAAAAACAAGCCTAAAGTTAGGCTCCTGTATCCAAAATTAAGCCCTTAAATAAATAAATTAACCTGATTTTCAAAAGCGCAGAGCAGTGAATGGTTTTCTCTGACATAAGAGGAAGCATCGTGTTGCTAAAGATTGAAGATCAGGCCCGAATATGGATTCGAAAGTCTAATTATAGAAGCCTGTTTGGTACCAGCTTGACCGAGAACAACAAATTTCAGGTGAAATGACATTGATTTTTTTTTTTCTTCTTTCTTCAGAGTTTGTCTACACCTAAGCAGTGTTAGTGAAAGTAGGAAAATCCCTCAAACAAGTAAATAAAATACCACAAGGAAATAGGTAAACTGGAATAAAACTGCTTACACCAGTGCTGAACATTTGTGTTTGGAAATAAGGTTAAGAAATATCAGTGTTAGAGCTGCGTGAAATTTTATGTTGATTAATTAAGTAGATATTTAGTAATTGTTGGAAGCCTACCAGGTAGAAATATTACCTTTCCCAGTTATTCTCAGAATATTTCCCAGTTAAGCTCACAATTGACTGGCATCAAGGAGGAATGGGGTTTTAGTCCTTCTTTTCCTCTCTTTGCCAGATTTGAGTTTGAAGGGAGCTGAAGATGCAGCACCATATTTTGTCATGGACCAAGGAGAGTACAAAGGGAAGTTCATTTCCCTTCAGCCCCAAACGGTCCTTGGAGCTGCTTTGCTCACGTGCTGGGACCATTTGCTGGCCAATATTGTGCCAAGGGATTCCTGAGGTCCCAGTCTCATAGGATAGGAACAGATTTGTCCTTCTGGGTCTTCCTGCCCAGGTCAGATTGGGCAGGACTGGGTTTTAGGGTGTGAAGGAGAATGTCCACCGTGGATGCAGGACCATCAGCAGGTGGGGCAGTACTCCACTCATGTTTGTGTTGTGGTTAGAGGCACCCAAAGATCTGAGTTTAGATGCCGAAAGACCTTTCAGAGCACCTTTTTGGTGTTGTATGACTCAGTTTCCTCCTCTGTGGAAGAGCAAAACACAGCTGACCTTTGCCAAAGGCTGTGGGCTCAACAACCAGGACAATTTGGTGTTTCTGTCACTGCCACTGTTCCAGCCATTGATGGAGACAGGATCAGGAAATTATGTAACTCCAATGTATTTTCATGTCCTTTCATGATGCCTCTGTGAATTGTTCTCATGTCCTCTCACTGTGGCCAGTAAGAAACATTCAGGCCTAAATTGTGTGGATGGTGGTGAATCCCTAGAGATCAAGGAGAAATCATTGCAGGATTTGGTGTCCCTTCTTTAGTTTCTTCCTAATCTTTTTGAGTGACTCAATGTCACTGTTATGGTTCGGTTCAGCCAACCTGGAGTGCTTGGAAAAGTATTTTTTGGTCTTAAAAATAACCCAAAAGTGGAGACAGGTGACGGGAACAGCAATGTGGAAGAGTAGAGGTGTAGGAAATGTCACCTTTGAGAGGAGGCTGAAAGAATTTTTTTCTGCAGAAAAGGAGGCTCAGGGGGGACCTCTTCACTCTCCCCAACTCCCTGACAGGAGGGGGGAGCCAGGTGGGGGTTGGGATTGCTCCCAGGGAACAAGGGACAGGACGAGAGAAAATGGCTTCAAGCTGTGCCAGGGGAGGTTTAAATCGGATATTGGGAACATTTTCTTCCTGGGAAAGGGCTGTCCAGCCCTGGCACAGCTGCCCAGGGCAGTGGTGGAGTCCCCATCCCTGGAGGGATTTAAATGCCATGTGGATGTGGCACTTGGGGACAGGGGTTAGTGGTGGCCTTGGCAGTGCTGGGGGGAACAATTGGGCTCAATGATCTTAGAGCTCTTTTCCAACCTTAATGATTCTGTGGGATTTTTCAGTCTGGAGAGAAGAATTTATGTGGTAACTATGTGCAAACAGGTAAATGGCTGCAGGGTGAAAATGAATAAATTCTTCTCCTTGTCCATGGCTGAGGAGATGAGAGATGAGTGACTTAAGCTTCAGAAGAAGAGTTTCATGTACCAGCAGGAATAGGAGCTTCTGGGGAGGGGAGGCCATCCAGAACTACAGGACAGATTTGGTGGCAAGAGTTTGGCAGAGGTGATGGTGTCTTTGCCCGTGAGCAGCACCTTATGGGCACCATCACCTTGGGTTTTGGTGGCCCTGTGTCACTGATATTATAAAAACCATTTGAGTGGTCCACTTTTTCTGCTTTCTCCTTGAGCCATTACACTCTCCCTGACTTTGCCTTTCCAGCTGAACTGCATTTATTTAATTCCTTGCATGGGTGAAGGGAAGGCAGGATCCCTCCATTGTGCTGCATCTTCTGGGGCTGGGATCTTCCGGGGGAGTGCCAAGCACAGGTGGTGGATTTGGGCATGTTGGGGACTGGGAGAGCAGGTGGTCTACGGCCATTCCCACCCCCCTCGGGGTCTGCTGGGGATGTCACACCAGTGTCACCAGTGTCGTATGTGACTGGCGTAGCATTTTCTCGAGCGTCGAGCCCCATCTGGTGGCTTTCCTGCGTCATTTTTCGTGTCCTTGCGGACTTCTTTCGGGATTTTTCGTCTTCTGTGCGCGTGAAGTGCGAACGGGAAGGAAGGACAAGGTGCCGGAGAAAGGGCAGGGCTCGCAGAGCTGCCTCTGCTTCCCTCCCAGCTCCCTGTCCCCGGGTGTAATTTGGAGACACAGAGGCTGTCGAGACTCCCGTCCTTCCCTCCTGCTCTTTCTTCCTTGCTGTACAGTCTCGCCCGAGTGGCAAGGAATGATCTAATCGTTCTGGCGAAACCCCAGTTAGTGCTGTGAGCCCCTCCCAGAGCCTCCAGAAGGCACTTCATCCCGCTGCCGCTCTGGCATCGGGGCCGGGACAGATGAACAGTCCCGGGAGGGGACATTTCTAGCTATTGACTGGCTCAAGATGACCAACTTTAGGGCTGGCATTAGGGGAAATGATTCCCATCCCAAAAAAGGCTACAGCCACCACTCAGGATGGGAAGGAAGAAGACCCAATATTAGATCATCAGTCCCTGGAAGTGTTCCAGGGACAGGCTGGATGGAGCTCTGAGCAACCTGTGACAGGTGACAGGTGTCCCTGCCCATGGCAGGCGGATGGAACAAGATGATCTTTAAGGTCCCTTCCAACCCAAACTATTCCAGGATTCTATGATATCTGGGAGCATTGGAAAGGACCCTGTTTTGGGAGAGGCTTCCTTTCTTAGATGCCGTGAGTGCTGTGGCACCTGGGCACATTGTGCTGCCCTGCCTTGGTCAGCTCCATTTACAAAGATTGCCCAAATGTCCCCTGAGGGGAATTTGTGTCCCCAGAGTGAGATTTGCAGGTCTGTGGAAACAGAGCAGTACCTGTCTGTGCACAAGGCACCTCTTTGTAGTCCAACATTGCCCAAAGTCCCCATAGCTGACCGGTGGCAAGCTGTGGCCTTTTGCATCTGTGGGTCACACCTGCTGAAGGTGAGGGTGGTGTCTCATTGCTCCACTTGTGATGAAATAGGGTCAGATCACAGACTCATAGAGTCATAGAATATCCTGAGTTGGAAGACACCCACAAGGATCATCAAAGTCCATCTCCCAGCCTGCACAGCACAGCACAGCCCCAAGAATCCCACCCTGTGCCTGAGAGCATTGTCCAAATGCTTCTTGAACTCTGGGGTTTGTGACAGAACCTCTTTATCAGAGTGCTGAAGGGACTTAGATGGTCTGTCAATCCACCACCAAGTGTTATGACCAGTATTTTTCAAGTAGCTTCTCTTGTTATGATGAAAATAAAGTGAGAGAGTTGTTTTCTTGTGCCTCACAAGCATTTCCTACCCCCAGGCTTCACGTTTGGCTGGTACAAGTTAAAGATTTTCCACTTGTGCAAGATGAAGTACATTTTGTGATATTTTTTAGTGGGCATGGTGGTATTCAGTCAAAGGCTGGACTTGATGGTCTTGGAGGTCTTTTTCAACATTAACAGTTGGTTGGATTCTAAAAATGCTCCTCAGATCTTGCAGGAGAGAGAAGAACCCCCCGTGTCTACCACTGATTCGCTGTCCCCAAAAACAACCGGCCCAACCCTCCTCGGGTTTTGACACGTGCCAAAGCCTCACACTCAGCTGTTCCTCCTGTGTTTCCTGCAGGTATATCCGAACTATGTACCTGGGGATCCAGAGCCAGAGGCGGAAGGAACACCAGCGGCGTTTCTACTGGGCTATGATGTACGAATATGCAGACGTAAACATGCTGCGCCTCCTGGAAACGTTCCTCGAGAGCGCCCCTCAACTGGTGCTACAGCTCTGCATAATGATCCAAAAGAACCGTGCAGAAGCATTACCATGTAAGTGGCCCCCTCGTTCCCCCTCTCCCCACCTTCCCGGCCTCCCCCTCCGAATCCGTGCTCGGCAGGGGTGTGTTGGACATGGATGTGTTGCTCGGGACAAATCTCATCCCAGCTCTGCGCTGCGTTCGCTGGGTGAAATTTCTGATTGTTCCACTGAGTAATAGAAGGAAAAGATGAGATTCAGCTGTTCCACACCCAGTCCAGGCTAAAGGAGTGATGGTGGTATGAGGAGGAGGCAGGAGGGCTCTGCTGCCGTGGCAAGCGTTGCCATTCATTTGCCCAATGGCACTGGGCAAACACGACCATTCCCTGCCTCCATTTCCCTCCTTGCATAAAGCAGGGTGATAAAACTGGCCAGATTTGAGTTTGTGTTGTGAGGACAAATGGTTCAATGTCTGCAATGCTCTGATGGTGTCAAGTGTAGTATAAGGGGGGAGCTTAAATAGCCAAACGATGTAGGACTTTTTCTGATGAGTTCACAGAAATTAAGGTTTCATCATTGGTACTGTGGTCCTGAGCAAGTCAAAGAAAAGAGGGGGAAGGCAGTGAAGGGGAATGTGTAGGGACAGAGAAGTAGTGGAGGTACCATTGCAAAACGTAGACAGATGATCAGAGGCTTGGAAGCCACCACAGGGAATAGTTTTCCAGTTCTGATGTGCTTCACTGCAGTGATGTGCCAAGCATGGGACACCCATCCCAGCTGAGAGAGATATGGCCCTGTCCAAGCACTGGGATGAGCTGCTCTCCCAGCCCATGGGCATGCTGGCTGCCTGAGAGTCACCAGCTCAAGGGGAAATTGTCCTTTACAAGGGCCAACAGTGGTATCAGCTGAGGAGCTCCTGGATTATTCAGCCCCTACTCGATTCACACACCAGGGAGGACACTCATCTTCCTAGAGACAGCCTGGTTGGGGCAAGTCATTTCTGACAGACATGAGGAGTTTTTGGAGCTGAGATTGGAACTGAAATCAGAATTAACTTAGGGGTTAAATTTTGCTGGTTGAACCAAGGTCACCACTATCTGCAGCACCAGTAAGTCTGACTGCTCTCTCTTTCCTCCATACTTCCAGCATGTCCATCAGGGTTGTTTATAGAGGCCTCCCTCCCCCTGTTTATGCAGCCTTTTTCTGAAACCTCTCATCACGAGCTCTCCAGGCCTCCAAAGTGCTGACATGATGAATATGCCTTTTCTACAACTCCTGCTAGAACTGCTTACATTTGCCAGCCCCCTTTTCCCGCTGCTTCCAACATTATTAACCCTACTGAAAATGTAGAGATCATCTGCCAGGTTTGCCAGGGCGTTACACAGATTGTTGGCCTCCCTGCAGAAAGCGCTGGGTGAAGTTTGCTGGCCTCTGTTGTGCTGCGAGTCAGACAACACGGCTGAATAATCCCTCTAGTCTTTCAAATCTGTGGCTCTTTCAGTTTGCCACTTCCAGGCATGGCTGCCTAATCCACTGAACAAGCTGCATCATTTTCCAACTCCCCCCCTCCCTTCCCCGGCTTTGCAGTTCCTCCGCTCCTCCACCACGCCGAGCCGGCTGCGCTCTCTTCCAAGGCAGCGCACGTCCCCGCCTGCCTTCCCGAGCCCTGGAGGGCTCTTTGCCTGCCACGCTCCAGCAGCCGAGCTCTCCGGGTCCCCAGCGCACCCTCTCCCCGCCTCCCTCCCCGCCTGTGCCAGGGATGCGGTCGCGCATCCCGGCGCTGCGATGCTGATGGATGCGAGCAGCAGAGCTTGCTCAGCGCTCCCTGACTCAAGTGCAAGGTTTCCTAGAGCTCCTCCATGCCCGTTCCGTGCTTCTGTCTTCCTCCTTCTCCTCCTCCTCCTCCCAGCCAGTACATAATTATACAGAAGGAAATTAAATGCTGTGAGGAGCCGTTAGGAAAGGGAGCATCAAAGATTTCCCTTAAAGCAGGCAGAAGCCAAAGGAATACGGATGTTGTTAGGAAGGCAGTGTGTTTAAAAATCAAATCAAGTCTCTCCTGGCTCATCATGTCCATGGGAGCAGCGGCTCATCACAGGAAGAGGCCAGTTCTGGCTTCAGCATCAGCTGCATCCCTGAGGGATTCACGCTGGCAAAGCAGCCCATGGCAGGGCTTACAAAACCAGGTACAGCCCCTGCTAATGTGTCCAGGCTCCAGCTCTTTCCATGCGATTCACACAAACTCTTATGGATTCATTAAGTGCCAGAGCAAGGTCAATTTGCCATTTTCTGTGGCACATCCCTCCTCTAAGCCCAAATCCTCCCTGCTCTTCAGATTGCAATGTCAAGCCTGTTGCAATGCCAAGCCAGGCTCCAGTTTTCCCCAAATGGGTCAGCTAATGTCTCCTTCGATATAAGGAGCTTTAGAAAGGGAGTTATTGGAATGGTTATCAGGAGGTTTTGTTTTTACCTCCTAGTTCCTGGTGTTAAGAGAGCTGTTGAGGAAAGAAGAATGAATACATTGGAGGTCTTTACTCAGACCCAGAGCATCTGGTGGCAGAAAGGGCTGATCTTTTGAGGACTAGTAGAGGGGGATACAATCAGGTTAATGTTTAATTTCCTTGTTTTCATGTCTACTGGGTGAGTGGAAGAAAGAAAAGCCTCATCATGCCTTGCAAGACCCATTTTACCCTGAGAGGTACCTGTCTGAGAGGGTTGGGTGAAACCTGTGTTTGTTGTTCCTTCAGCACTCAAAGAACAGAGTTTCACCCAAAAGTGAGAGTCCTCTGCATGGTCTGACACCACAAGCAGCAGAAGTGCTGGAGCTGGATTTGGAGGTGAAGACCCAGCCTCAGTAAAGCTTGGGACAACACCCTTGGGATTTCATAAAAGTCAGGATTCCTTCCTTTCTCATGTCCCAAGCACTAGGCAGACTCAGCTGCCCCTGCCTGGGGAAGAACAGAAAGTAGCAAAGACAGCAAAGAGGTAAGAACTTAGTGTAGTCCATCAGGTGAGCAGGTCTGACCTGGAAGGTGCACACTGGGAGCCTGAGTTTGGAATACTTTGTGCTGTGGTTGCTGATATTCCTTCCTGAATATCCATATGGAAGGACCTGGTGTTGGTAGGCAGGTCCTTTGTGAATAATCCATCTGCTACAACCACAGCTGTGGGGGTCCAAAACAGGGTCAACAGAAGGTAAGGGGAAAAGGATGCCTCCAAAACATGGATCAGTCCATGTCCAAAGCAACTGAAGGAGGAGGGATGAGATGCTCAACCTCCAGCAGAGACTTTCTCCAGGGATTCTGGACAGAAGCTGGGTGGTGGATTTATACTTTTCCTTAGGGTTAGGGTAGAGGAGGTGATGGGTCACTGGAGAGGATGCAGCCCTGTTCCTCACTCACCTTAATTGTCCCTGAGGTTTAGGAGAGGATGGGTTGAAAGGATGTCCATCTCTCAGACTCCTGGACAACACCAGCCAGGGCACTTGCTCTGATTTAAACACTATATTTGCTGGAGGAAACATAATGTTAACAACAACAGAAAAGGCCCAGCAGCCCAGATCCTCATTTCATAATCACTCCTGGTAGATAATCCACCTCACTTCTTGCAGAACAAACCATCCTTAACCAACTTCACTCCTCAGAGGTACTGGTTCCTCCACACTGAATGGGAAGGAGTAGAAACAACCAGCTTAAAGGAGACCCCAACCTCCAGGCAGTCAGTGAGGTGACAGGGATGCCAACTTTTCCTGGAATAAATCTCCTCTTAAAGAGGTTTACTTTCACTTTTTTTTTTTTCCATGTGGCTACTTTAAGGCTTAATGAGATTTAGCAGGACCTCGAACGTCCTTCCACTCGTGTCACGAGTTCTTTACACAGAGAGTTCCCTGGGAATCTTCCTGCATGAGGCTGCACTTTTCAGCACAGGGTCTCTCCCCCCCAAAAGTCACATCTATCCCCTGATGCTGTGGCCACCTCCTCTACGATCCTGGTGTTGATCTGAAAGAGATTTGCAGTGTAAGCCTTCATTTGGCAAAGTCCTGGAATCTCCAGGATTCTGCAAGGTATCTGAACTCTCCACAGCCCACAATAAGTACTCTGAAGCTGCTAATATATTTGAGGAAAAGCAACATTAACTTCAGTGGGTTTTTGGGTCATTCTTTTAAGCAAAGTGATAAAAATTAGGCACTGAAAGGAGTTTCAGACATCTCAGCTACAGAAGTGTGCTGGCTGCAGAGTTATCCTGGTAGAGTTTGCAAATCTTGTTGTCCCTCCTAAAGCAAAGTCCTATTCTTGGTCACCTTCTCCTTCTTTCTGTACCATGTCTGGGGAGCATTTATGATCATTTATGATCCTTTTTCGCAGGGGCACACTAAGATACCTGTCACTTAGTTTAGAAGACTTAACTGATCTTGCAGAGTATTGAAGGACAAGCAGCAGGTTAGATGTCTCACTGCCCAGAGAAGGCATCCCTGGTGGAGCTGAGTGGGTTTGGGATGAGCCAAGTTAAACCCTGCTGCACTTGAGTGAGAAGGTTCCTGTGTGATAATGAGTTAGTCTAATGTGGAGATAAATTTCTCAGTTCATCTTCCCCGTTGACAGGTCGATAGTTAACCAATAATATGCTGTGAATAATGGATGTGCTGTGAGCTGCCTTCTGTGTGAAATGTCCTGGGATAATCATAGGATAGGGAATATCTCAAGGCACCATGACTTGTTGAGGAATGGCTTGAGATTTAAAACCAAGGCCGTCTCTAAAGGATAACACATGGATGAATTACTTCTTACTCGAGCCCCAAAGATCAAACAAATCTTCTTAGCTGGGACACCCGAGTTAGAAAGAGACCTTCAGCCTTTAGTTGCTCAAAGGTGTGATTTTCAAATGACATAACACTGGCCTGAATGTAACTGAAGTGACTAAAATTCCCATGTCTCCACTAGAAATGTAGAAGAGACTCATTAGATTTGAAATTCCGTCCTTTTCACCATTTCTATTCTTGAGGGAGCACTAGAAGTTAGTGCAAGATCTTTCTTGCACTTCTTGGGCTGAGCAGGTACATCCATTGGATAGCCCA